AGTAGCCAGTCATGGTGTTTGGATCGAAGGTGTAGCAATCGGACGTGCTCTGCAGAGACGAGTGATGGTGGTGTGTGGTGTGATGATGTGACGATGTGACACGCATGATGATGTTTGGTTGGATGTGTGAGTCGGAGTTGAGCATACGCGCCATTGGGGAGGAGGGATTTCGTCGCAGCTTGTGACTGTGGCGGTGTTTGGAGCTGTGATAAGACACATCAAAGCAGGCCAGACAGGCGCAGAAAAGATGATGCTGTTCCTCTTACCGTTGATCGCTCGCAGGTGCTTCGGTCCTTGTATCGTCCTGGATCATCTCCGAGCACGAGGTCCACGCCCGTGCCAATGAGATCTGTAACAGTCAACAGCGTGTGGTGCAAGGAAACCTTCACGTGAGCGTTTGTTGAATGGAGTGTATTTCAAACACCTGCGAGGGTAGCGATGCGTAACCTGCCAAGTACCCAAGTTCAAGCACACAAGTTCAAGCACTCGCGTTCAAATACCCAAGCTCATTCTCTCTTGCATGCAAGCAAACAGGTGGCTGCATTACCTGGGGCGTCGAGTTCGATGTTAATTTGGCCGCCAGATCCATCGCCGGCCCTGTCGTGAACGATAACGAACGAGACCTCGCCAGCATCGTCCACGACAAAGTAGAGCAAAGGTCGTGTTCTGAAGAAGGTGGTGAGCGGGCGGATTTCAGGTGGATGTTGAGCGAACGAATGAGTGCCGAAAGTGTTTGCGTGCACAAACACAAGCACGCACTGGCATCAACGCGTTCAGCACATGCCCATGCACAAAAAAGCAACATGTACACAAACAAACACACACGCACACACGCATACACATAAACACACACACACACACAAACACACGCACACACATACACACACATACGCACACACACACACAAGCATGCATGTACGAGCTCACGCACAGGTTGTTCAAAGCCAGTGTTGCTCGCGTCGCTGTACGGTGCGTTGCCTGAGATTCACAAAAGTAATGTGGGCCACGGTGGTGCCGATAGGCGTGTTCTCCGCAATACTGGCGGTATCAGGTAGCAGGGCTGTTGGCGCGTAGTTGGTATCTTCAACGTTGACACGCACAAGAAAGTCAGCCAACAGCTGGGCAATGGCGCCGGTGTTTTTTTGCACACACAGCAGCCTCGATGGCCGACCCATCCACAGGGACAGTGATGAGGGGCAGCGGGAAGCTGTTCTCTGGCACGCGCGTGGTGCCGAGGGAGATGCGTTCTGGCGGCCTGTTGGTGTCATCACTGCACATCGGGCCAACCCACTCGCCGACACATGCGCACTCAACCGCGCCTGGGTTGCACTCGCTGATGTCGCGGCAGGCCAGCTCCGTGTCGGTGTAGGTCTGATCAGCCTGGCATGCGCACATGAACGGGGTCAATGTGAAGGGAATGGTGGGCGTGCTGCTGGATGTGGTGTTGTAGTAAATGACGATACCGGAGGCGCACGTGTACACCACGGGGTCTTTCCCATGACTAGGATGTCATGGTGGCTGCATGCGCGGTCGCTGGTGCTGGCATCGGCAGCGCTCATCAATTGTAAATGTCACGGCTATGGTTTGCCACACGCTTGCGGTGTTGGGGATGCTGAACGTGGAGGTGGGGGTTGCCTGTCGCAGCCGTGTGCTAGAGTAGGCTGACGTTTCATTGAGAGTGAAAGACACGATGAAACTAGCGTGTGGCGTGCAAGTGCCGCACACGCAGTGTTGTTCGCACGCAGTGCTGTTCACACCCAACGGACGCGCACGCATCAAGATCTGCGCAGGCAGCGAAAGGCCAGGTCAGGGCCGTCCTGGCTCGTGGGGCTGCGCAACTCAGAGAGGCACTGGAGGACAGCAAGTATAGCAGCCGTGTTGATGGCTGTTCGCGCTGTCTTTGTTTCATCGATGAATGTGGATTACGCGAGGGGCGCCTGAGCGTTGCTGCTGCTGCTGTTGCTGTTGTTGTTTGGCATGCAGTTGTGCTGCAAGCACCATGCTCACGTCGATCGCACACGACCACAGAGGAACCTGGCTGTGAAATGTGCTGAGCTGGATGCAGTAGACACTGACGGTGTGTGTGTGTGTGTGTGTATGTGCCGGTGTCAAGTAGCGCAGCTGCCAGCGAGTGCAAGGTGAATGCAAGTGCATGTGTGAATAGCTTTGTGCATGTGTGATGGGCGTGTGTATGTGTTGTATGTTTGCGTGCGCGTGCGCGTCTGAATCATAGGATCATGGATGTGAACCCAAGTGAGCGTGCCAGAAGACATGTAACTTGTGGTCGTGGTGCTTACTGGAGGAAGCGGTGGCGTATCGTGGCGTGACAGGCGCGATGGGAGTTCCCAAGCGTGTGTTCAGTAGCACCCCCTACAATATCCATGACAGCATTATGTGTGACAACAAACCCAAGCCACACAAAGAAGTCAGGACAACCAATTGGCCATGTGGACAGTGCAATGCAGTCTTTGGTCAAGGTTGGTGCTGCAGCAAGACCCCTCCACATACACAGCACACAGCACAACACAACACAACACCACAACACAGCACCCAGCACACCACAACACACAACAGCACCCTCAAGCCCTCACTCACTCTTGGGGAGACAGTGTAACGGCCACAGCACCTGGCATACATACACACCATGATGGCATGGTCCTTCTTCTTCCGTTCTCGTGAAAATTTCCAATTGATTTTCGTGAAAGCCAAGCAACGATCGCCTTCCCTCCCAGATGCCACAGCAGTGGACAATGAATAGATGAATGTACTTGGCGTTCAACGGCGATCCAGTCGTGAATGCAAGGCGCTTCAGCAAATTGGACATTGTTGGCAACGAACAGAGGGAGACGGGGAAGGCCAAGATTGGAACGGAAAAGGGGATGCTTAAGAACAACCACATTGCGACAATGGCATCCGTATCCACACCACTGGTCTTGCAACCCAACAACGTCGAGGTACCCGTGCACGTGCTGCATGTTGTCGTCCTCGTCGAGGGCGGCGTCAAGCGTGTCGTATGGCGGATCGGCGCTGGCAAACAGCGCCGTGTCATACGTTGGGTTGGACAGCGCAGGCCCAATGCCGGGAACATGGTCATAGCCACCGTCTCCCTCGCCATAGCCAGGCACGTTGTCGTAGCCAGTGTCGGCATCTCCACCACGCGTCAGCGACGTTGGATCCTCATACGGCGGGTTGTGGAATGCGCTTTGCTGGCCATCTGTTGATTTTGTTAAACAGGACGTGAAAAGGTGACAGGGAAGAGAGGTGGAAGAGGTGGAGGGACGAGGAACAAGCCGTCGTGAGACATTGCAACGCTAGCAAATGTCAAGGGCAAAGTATGGATGACAACAGCATGCACGCTGTGCAACAGGTGCGGCTAAGTCACACAATTTACGCACACGCACACGCAATGTACACACACACACGCACACACACACACACACACGTGCGCGGACGCACCTCGGGACTTGCGGGGAGGTTGCAGGACATGTGCACGGCGACGGCGGAGAATGAGGGCTGCCACAACAACACACGCACCAAGCACCAGTGCTCCAACTGTGTGTGTGTGCAGTCATGTGAGAGACGGCAAAGCATGTCACATGCATGCGGCATGCATGGGCAGCGCTATCAACCCCTCCACGTTCCCATCCACCATCCATCATTGCCACCACCACCACCACCACCACTTTGATGACTGCGTGACGTACCGACGATGCCGACAATGAGACCCGTGTTGCCAGCGGCAGTGTTGCTGGACTTCTCTGGGGAGCGCGTGCCACCTACAAACAACAACACAGCGACATGATACAGAGCAGCAGCGTTAGCGATGGTCGCCGCTCAACAAGGAAAAGGCACAACACCAACCAAGCGCACAATGTGCCGAGGAATGAAACACCAACGCACGTTTCATTGCGACAGACATCAGCCTCAACACAGACACCAACATCATGAGCATCAACACACAACAATAATGTCACCTTGCGGGGTAGTTGTTGGCGTGGGAGACACCGTCACAGGCGGCTGGCAGTTGTTTGTGTCAGCGCTGCCCTCGGGTGATGTCCAGCCATCAGGACACGGCGTGCACACCGTGGCCGCATCATTTGCCTGGTTTGTGAAAAACGAAGAAGTGGGAAGTCAAAAGCAATACGCAGAAATGCCAGATGTGAAACAGAGGACAAACACTTGTTCGTACACACAAACACAACTCACTCACTCACTCACGCACTCACGCACTCACGCACACACGCACACACACTCACATTCCACAAACACTCACTCACTCGCACACACACTCACTCACTCACTCACTCACTCATTCTCACCCACACACACGCACATACCCACCCACACACACGCACCACCCTACAAGCACCGCGTACGCACGTGTGTGTTGGCGGGGCACGCGGTGCAGTTTGGCCGTGAGCCCGAGGGCGAGATGTAACCTGGTGGACAGGGCCCCGCCAGCACAGCAACAAAGCGCTGCTGCTTTGCGCGCCACCAGAACGCCACATGACCGCTCTCAACAGCGCCTTGGAGCATGGGCACCAGGCTGCCGTTGGACACGCCCACATCGGCCAGGATGCTGCCTGCCGACAGCACGCCCTTGAAGTACACGTCGTCACTGCCTGCAGGCACGCCGCCACGTGCGCTGAGGGTGGTGTTGCGCAATGCGGAGAACAGCAGCTGAAGGAACGTCGCCTCTTCCTCCGCGTTTTGCAGGATGGAAAAGTCGGCGCGAAACTGCACTTGGAGCGAGCCCGCACTGCCCCGCATCACGCACACGCGATCAGAAGTGCGCGTGGCGGGGAGAAATTCCACGTGGCCAGACTGGCACACGGAGACGGGCGTGCACGCGGTGGCGCCGTTGTCTACGTAACCGACGCCGAGCTTGCACTGGCACACGCGGTCGCTCACAGCTGTCGGTGGCACAACTTGCTCCTCCAGCGAACCGCACACGCGCACGGGCTTGCACGAGGTTTGGTCTACAGGTAGGCGGTGTGGTGGTGTGGTGGTGTGGTGGTGTGGTGGTAGTGGTGGGGGGTGAAGAACAAGACACGAAGACAACAAGGGAAAGATTAGTAGTGGATTGTGAGAGACAAATTAAAAGCCACCAGGCATGCGCAGTGCGCACACACACACACACACATGCACGCACAAGGACCAACACACGCACACACGAACACACACATGCACGCACAACAAACACACACGCACACACACATGCACGCACAACAAACACACACACATGTACGCACAACAAACACACACACGTACTTCACACACACACACATGTACGCACAACAAACACACACACGTACTTCACACACACACACACATATGCACACTTGCACTGTTTCGTACCCGGTTCGTTTTGGAACTCCGTGGTGCCGTCGCAGCGACCGCATTGCGTGTCCGATGAAGAAGTGGCGGGAGCAGACACAAACTCGCCAACGCCGCACACGCGCGCGGGCTGGCACTTGACACTCGAGCGCGCGTCCTGATATTCGCCCTCGCCACATGGTGTGCACTGTGCTGCGTTCTCGGTGTCGGAATAGGAACCAGCGGGACAGGCCGTGCACTCGCGGTTCTGCGCTGGCAGCGGCATCACGCTCACGTACGACCCGGGACGACACGTTGTCAGTACTTTGCACGTGCTCTTGTCTGTGAACAAAAAAAACATCAAGAAGGGAAGCGGTGGGGAGATGCGGTGAAAGTTATGGTGAGTGGACTGGCAATGCACGTTTTTGGCGGTCTCTGAGTCACTTGAGTCTCTGCTCCCGCGATCCATGCACGTGGCACAATAGCGGCAGAAACCCACAGTTACATGTAACAACAAAAAAAATGCACACACACACAAAAAAAAAGAGCACACACACAAGCACGATCACAAGTACACACAAGCGCACACACGAGCACACACACACACACACAAGCACACACAAACACACACAAACACAAGCACACACAAACACACACACACACACACAAATACACACCTTGCTCGTCCTGGTACTCGCTGTTCTCAACCAGACAGGATTCACAGCTGCGGTCCGTGCTGGTGGTTGGCGATGTCACCTCGTGCGTGCCAGGCTGACACACCCCTCGGTGCGGCTGACACATGCCTGCTTCCCCTGCTTTGAAGGTGCCATCACCGCACGGTTTGCACACACGATCGCTGGATGTTGTTGGCGGAATGTCCTCCTCCTGGCCAGCAGGGCACGCACTCACGCTCTGGCACGCTGCCTGTCCGCTCTCCGCCTTGAACGTCACCGTGGCCTCGCATGGGGTGCATGTTCGGTCGGTGGTGAGCGTGGGTGGTGTGTCCTCTTCATAGCCGGGCGCACAGTCACTCACGGGCGCGCACGCTTCCAGTGTTGGCGTGGAGGAGAACGTGTGCGGTGGCGAGCACGGTGCACAGACGCGATCAGTGGAGGGTGTGGCTGCCGTCACAAGTCCAGAGCCAACGGAACACGGCTGCACGGGTGTGCACGATGCCATGTTGGCCTCGTTGCTGAAGGTGCCAGACGGACACGGCTTACACTTGCGGTCGCGTGTCGATGTGAGAGGGACGTCGACATATGTGCCAGGCTCGCACACCGTTGCGTTTTCGCACTGCGTGGCGGTCGGGTTGCTGGAATACTGATTGTATGTGGGGTCACACAGCTGGCACACGCGGTCGGAGGTTGCTGTTGGCGCGGTTGTCACCACCTCGCCAACAACACAGTCCGTCCACGGCTGGCACTCCTCCTGCCCTGCTGTGGCCTTGAAGTGCTTGTTGGGGCAGCGCGTGCACGTGCGGTCCGTCGAGGGTGTTGGATCAGCGAGCGTGATCATACCAGGCGGGCACTCGGTCACCGCAACGCACTCGCCTTCCTTGAAGTACTCGCTCGTGCCATCGCACGACTCGCACACTGTCAATGTGGGGAGGGATGGGGTAATGTAGTGTGTGTGTATGTGTGTGTGTGTGTGCGTGGGTACGCGACAGGGGGTGTTGTTCGTGTGCGTGCGCGCGCATGTGTGTGTGTATGGTTGTGAGTGCGCACATGGCCACACTGCTATGCCAGGTTTCATTCTCGTGCGTGCAGCCACTGCACAAAACATTGCTTCACCTCACCTCGGTCTGATGTCGGCGTGGGCTCCATCGCCACGACCTCATATTCCCCGCAAGTGGTCAGGCCAGCGCACACTGCGGAACAGGCAGAAACACAGCATGGGGCGCATGACCAATTTTGTGTTCGTGTGCGCGAGTGTGTGTGTGTGTGTGTGTGCGTGGATGAGTGAGAGTGTGTGCGTGAGCGTGTGTGATCAAGGTACGATCTGCCCGTGCGTTCAAAACAAACGCAACAAACAGGCAAACAGCAATAAGGAACAGCATCAAGCGGGTCAACCCCCCCCCCCACACCCACACACCCACACACCCACACACACACACGCACGCACCTCTGTCGGACACAGGCGTGGGCGGGTGGACTTGGTAGGACCCAGACGGGCAGTCGTGAATGTCATCGCACACCCTGGTAAAGT